TGCCTGGCTAATTTTTTCTATTTTTAGTAGAGACAGGCTCTCACTCTCACTGAGGCTTGTCTCAAACGCCTGACCTCAAGTGATCCTCCTGCCTTGGCCACCCAGAGTGCTAGAATTACAGGCATGAGCCACCGTGCCAGGATATATTCTTTTATTTTTTAAAGATGGTTTGTCACCCAGGCTGGAGTGTGGTGACATGATCATAACTCCATACAGTCTTAAACTCTTGGGCTCAAGCAATCCTCCCACCTGATCTTCCCTAGTTGCTGGGATTACAGGCATGAGCCACCATGCCCGACTATGTTGGGTTTACCCTAGAACTCAAAACTTACCTTAATACTCAGAACTAATGAATTGCAAGGATTTGTTACTAATGCAATTAATTTATGAACTTGCATACTTTTTGAAACAAATATGCAAAAACTGTTTTTTTGCAATTAAAATTTTTTTTGCAAATTAAGTTTTTTTGCGGTTATTATTTGCAAAAAATAAATTACGACTTTTTTGAAAGTGAGGTGAATAAAATTGAATTACAGCTCCCCTGTTTGCTCATTTTAGCTGATAAATGTGATGATAGCTTTGTCCATCGGGATTGTATCAGTTGTTGCCCACCAACCTGCACATTTGAGAAGCAATGTCTTGGGAGCAATCTTCATTGTCTTGATGGATGTTACTGCCCAGATGGTAAGTGCTTCATGATGAAATCATGTCTGCACTTGTGGAAACTAGAACCCAGTGATCTAAGGATCACATCTTCATCTTGCTGTCCTCTCCCAGGACATTAGGCCTGTTACAATTTTCTACCCATGTAGTATTAGGTCCCTGAAGTGAGTAGGAGGAATGGCTACTTTTTGTTAACAAAAAGCTCAATGCTTTGTTTTTTTTTTCTTCAGGAAACTTGGAATCTAGAATCTTGAAGTTAACCATGGACAATCTTTTGTTCTCTTAATATTTTATGATAGTTAATGATTTATATATTTTCAGTTTTTGAAAGATGAAAGCAAGTTTGAGAGAAAGACTTCACATTCTTCCAAGATTTTAGTACTGATATAGTTTTTTTGATGTAGTTTTAATATTTGAAATTAAAAATAATGTAGCAAGTGACAGAGGTGGGATTTAAAATTAGGAATCAATCTGCTATTCTGATAGACATAAATGAAGAACATTGAGTATTTACTCAAATCTTTTTATTTTTACAGATTAAAAAAATAGAATCATAGAAATGTTAAGGGATTTTCCCAATGTCATAAACTTAATATGAATGAGGATTACCTGGAACCAGATCTGTTGAGCTCAGTCTGTTGTTCTGTCAGTGCTACTCAAAGTATGGTAAACCGGTGCCAGTCCTGAGCTGTTTGTGACCAGTCAATGACAAAATAAGGTGTTTGCACTAGAATTTCAACCCATGCACAGAAAAAAATTCAATGCTTTTTTCTATAAAGTTTTACTACGGAAAAAGGTCAGCTGAATGAAACTGTGACTGGTGACATGGTTGACTTAAGTTCTGGTTCAACCTCCTTTACTTGTCAGAGAGAAGTAACAAACAGTCCCACTGTACTGGACATTTGAGTAGCACTGCCTAGGTCTTTGTGATCTGTGGGACAATAGTATAAATCTCTCTCTTCTTGGAATAAACAGAAACTAAACCAAAAATATACTTTCTCTGTCCTTCTGTCCCTCCTTCTCTTAAAAGCAAGGAAACACTTTTTAGTTGCCTTTATTCTGTATGTTGAACCTTGAGTCTTTGATGGCAAGTCATGGGATAAGAAAGTTGAAAGCCACTGAAATGGACGCCTTTGTAAGGTAGCTACTGACTGAGAACCAGGTTGTTGGTAATCTCCTTGAAAGTAAAGAAATTTGTATTTCTAGCACCTCGTGTAAGCAGGTATTCAACAAAAGTTGGTCAAAATATTATATTTAATGAATACAATTTTTATTATTTCTTTTGAAAATTTGACACATATTTTTCTCAATTTCTTTGAATTTCTTAGGACTTATCATGGAAAATGGGACTTGCATCTCCTTGGAAAATTGCCCGTGTAGTTTTCATGGATTAGCTTATTCAGTTGGTTCAAAAATTGAGCAAGAATGTACTGAATGGTATGTGATCAATGTACAGCCAATTATTTCTGGGCACCTGTCTAATTGACAACTTTACCATGACAGATGTTTGAAGGAATTTACTTATTACTGATTTTTCCCCCCAAATTCCAAGGTATGGTTTGCATTTTATTTGAACTCCTTGGGGAAGGGGCATTTATATATTTTCTTTCATAATGTAATTCTTGTCACTAGTCTGGGTAATTTCCTAAATCTTATATCCATATGTTGAATCTGTTGCATTTTCTTACATTGCATTAATTTGCACATACTTTTACTCTTAGAACTTGACAGTGCTCCTGGTCTTCTCTATTAAGTACTTTAAAAAGTGACTCTCCGTATTGCCAATTTTGGGCCCATTATTAGAAACATTTAGAATTCCATATTAAATTAGCTAACTAAATGAGCAAACATGAAATCCCTCCAGGACAGTCCTAAAAAAGAAATGGAGGTTTAAATGTCCTCAGGCTCTTTTCCCTTTGGTGTCAGTGTGTATAACTGAGATGCACTTAGATAACTAACCGTATTTTTAGATGCTGCTTTCATTCCTGTCTTCCAGGGACTTTGCTTCTGCCCTCCAAAATTCACATCTTTGTGAGGATGGAAGGCAGAATTTATCTTATATAAGAGGAAATCTCTTCTCTCTCTCTAATGTCTGATGATTTTCATTATTACCAGTGACTTTTATGTATGACACACAGTAGATAATAATTTACATGCTAGCCAGCCCCGAATTATCAGTCAATTGAATTTTTGCAGAGGTGTTTCTCAAGTCAGATTATTCTGAACCTATAAACATGATATATTTTGGTGCATTAATCAATACCTCGATACAAACATTAATATAGCTTTCCTGTACTGGTTGATTAATATTTTTATAATTTCCTTTAGTGTGTGTGTTGGTGGAGTTTGGAACTGCACTGAGCATGACTGCCCAGGTAATCTTTTAAAATATTTTTAAAGAAAATGTTTCAATTTTCTTTAAATCGAGGAGAAAGATAGCACTGATTTTTGTGAAGACATCTGATGTATAACAAGGGATATAATAATCTATAAATGCAATTTTTCAAAGGAAAAATGGAAAATTGAATGATATCTTTGAGCAGGCAATTTTGATAAAAATTTATTTAAATAGTATGTATACCATATTTATAAAACCTGAAAGAACTATCATTTAATAAATATTAAATTAAATGGAGTAATATAATATAGCATAGTCAAACCAGTAAATTTTAAACACTGTAGATGTTCTTTTTGGTGCATGATTTACCCTGTGTTGACTTCCTGCTTTTTAAGAATTAACATGAAATTGTTCCTCCTTCTTCTCCTCCTTTTTTCTTTACTTTTTTTTTTGGTAGTTCAATGCTCAGTTGTGGGTGATTCTCATTTTACAACTTTTGATGGTCGACATTATTCTTTTATTGGCATGTGCCAGTACATCCTCGTGAAAGGAACTGGAAAAAATAAATTCACAATTACTTTACAGAAAGCTCCCTGTGAGCAGGTAAGAACCACATTTCAAAATAACCAGAGGAATATGTATTTATTTACTTTTGCTTAAACTTTGTATCAGATTAAGAATGGTAACATGAATGGAGATAGTTGTTTTCTTCAAAACCAAGACAACATTGATTGTAATATTAAGACACACCGTTATTCTGTGTATTACAAAAGAAAGAAGTACTGATAATTATTCTATGACATACATTACTTATATGATGCATCTTGATTTCAGAGATATTAAAATGTGAAAACAGATGTCATGGACTAGATAAGATACGATATAGTTAATTGCATTTTCTTTTTTTAAAAGTATGTATAGGTTTTTGAACATTTTATGCATGGTTGCACAATGGATCTAAATTTTTATTTATTTTAACCTAGCTATTTGAAAGAGATGATTTTTGACAGTTTTGGAACAAGTTTCATATCATTCTAAACAGAAATGATGAATTTCTTGACATGGAATATTTATTTTAGATCTTTTCTTCAAATAATAAACTCATTAATAATTTGTAAATAAAGAAATACGTATCTTTTATTCATCTCTCTAAATCAGGTAGTCAAAATTTTGCCAAAAATCTTTAATTTTCTAGTTTTATTCTAATATAAAGTGGTTATTTCCAAGAAAAATTCTGAACTGCTTTATTTGCATTTTTTCCAGTTTGATTTTTTTTCTTTGCAATATATGAGAGTCTGAATTACCTTTCTATATAGAATTCTAATTCTCTTGGTTCTTTTCTTTATTGATTTTATGTTTAACTTATTAGCTAAATGAATTTGGAGAGATGTTTTATGTGCTATTGAAAACATAATTATTGTCACTTTATGGAAAACATTTTTATTTAATGTTCTGTGTAAAATATACATTATGTATATGGTATATTTAATGTATTATGTAAGGATATATTGTATTAGGAACAGAGCTACATGAAATGTGTTATGTAATAGATACTTTATTATATTACTATACTCAAGCTTTCTATATACCAGAAATTCTTATTTACAAGCACTGTTTTTCTCCTTTCTTCTCTTTGTTCTCTCCCTCCCCTTCTCCCATCTCCCTCTCCCATCTTCCCTGTCTCTTTCTATGGTTCTGTCTTTATCCCATTCCTTTCATTGATAATTTAATTTTTATACAGAACCTTGGCTTGGTCTGCCTTCAGTCTATAACTCTAATTCTGGAGGATGATTTTAACAAACAAGTGACCCTAAGTAGGGGAGGACAAATCCTCACCAGTCCTAACCAAGGCTTCAATCTGAATGGTAAGAAGCAATGCTAATGTTTACTTTCTTTATATTAAGAGCAACAAGAATAACAACAACAAAGGTAACCTAATGGAGTCTTTTCCCATTGTCTGACATTTATTGAGTGCCTATATATTACCAGGTCATCAGCTACAGGTAGTGGATACTCCGTGTTTATAAGACCTTGGGTTTACCTCAAGTGGTCTAGAGTCTGAAAGGGAAAAGAGACAAGCAAACAGCCACTACTTAACAATAAAATGTGATAATCTCAAAGATTTGCATAAGGACTTTGGGAGTCTAAATGGGGCATGCCTCACTTAGCCCTGGGTGGGGGTACAGGAATGGTCAGGAATGTTTTCTGAGGAATTGATGTCTCATTGAGTATTTAAAGGTGAGGAATTGCTGGGTTGAAGGATGTGGGGAAAGTGTTTCATGCTAAGAAGGGAGGTATAGAATTAATTGTGCAGCATGTTTAGGAGGAACTATAACTAGATTGGCATTACTATAGCAAGAAAAGGCTAGTGGAGAACCAGAGATGAGATTTGGGAAGCTGGTAAGGATGAAGCTGGAAAGGCCTTATGTCCTCATGTATGAGGCATCAAACACCCTGGTTCCATGGGACAGGCCATGTTTATCCCTGTGTTCCAGTGCAGTTCTTGATAACACTCTCTTTCACTCTCAGAAATGCCTTGATTTGTATTACAAATTACGCGCTCATGCTATTCAGTTGTCATGCTAAGGAAGTTGAACTTGACATGAATCAAATATGAAATTGTCATTTTTGACCATTTTTTATGTACAAAGATGTAAATCTTGTATGGTTCAGCCAAATAAACCATGAGTTTTAAGGAGTTATTTTTTGGTAGACTAGGATGACAACAGTGTAGAAGTCACCTTGAGAGGTGCTAGACAGGAGACATGGACGACAGTTAGGTTGTTACAAAGGAGGACACACAAGGAATGAGGAGGAGGTGATCTAGGGTGGTGACAGTAGACGTGGAAAGAAGACAGGTCGAAAAAATATTTAGAGCAAAAGTGGTCTGAACTTGGTGACAGATTGGATTTGGATTGTTGGGGGAGGGTACTGAGGGGGAATGCAGTGATCAGAGAATGATTCCTAGATTTATGGCGTAGGTGACCAGATTGATGGCAAAGATTGTGGTAAGGATATAGGAGCAATGAAGACCAACCCTTCTGGTGGCAAAAACCATTAGTATCAGTTTGGGACATAAGTTTTTTGTCTCTAAAGGTGTCTCATAAAATGGCGTTTATCAGATTCTGTGCTCCCCATTTTTGCTGACAGTCTCAAAGGAATGAAAAATTTTTGAGAAGTGCTGCTGCCTGTTGATTCATGTCCAGTTTGGGGGAAAATTCACAAACACACACACACACACACACACACACACACACACAAGTTAAGAAAAAGAAATCAGATTTCAAATATCTAAAGACCTCCCCCTTCCCTGTGAGATGCTTGTGAAATGAAATTCCATGTTGACCTGACAGTCTATTAACAATATCTGCTGAAGACCCAGGAAGGAGGGAGAGAAGGGAAATGGGAAAAAAGAAAGCAGCCACAAGGTGGCAAAAATTGGCCCTGGAACACGGGCGGGAATTATGAGCCTGCCTCCCCCTGTTCCCAGTATCTTGGAAGGAGAGTCCTGGTGTTGTGCTCTAGCACATCGGAACATGGCCTGTGAACCTCAAAGCTGATTTATGTATGTTCGTTTCCCACAGGTATTGTTGAAATTCACACTCTGTCATCCTTATTTATACTTCTAAAAACCACATTTGGTTTAAGGATTCTGTTTGCTGTAGATGGGGAAAGAATTTATATTCAGCTCACCAGTGCATGGAAAAGAAGAACTTTAGGTCTGTGTGGCACTTTTAATGGGAACATAAGGGATGACTTTCTGTAAGTATGATTTCTGTATAGTTAACATGATTTAATGACTTATGATTTAGAGGCTATAAATTCATTAAAAATGTTTATTTAACTAATTATAGCTTAACAGTCACTGTTCCAAGGGCTTTACAGGGATCATGATGTTTAAATTGTATAGCAATCCCCTGATTAGTATCTTTATTTTATAGAGAAGGAAACCAACCAAGGCCCTAAACTGGCAAATAAATCATTCAAGGTCGCTTAGCTTACATATATTGGTAGGCTTTGAATTTAGGCAATGTGTCTCAGCCTGTGGGCTAACTGCTACCTGTTATTCTCTCCTCTGCCACTTATCAATCTTAACAATATTTTATTTTTGAAAAGCGTGTACCTTAAAAAAATCTCAATATCATTTTGTATTAGTGGTAGTAAATTATACTTTAAAATATTGATATAATTTGATATTAATAATACTTCTAAAGCAACATTTTGTTATCTCATCGGATTTTGTGATAGTTGGTGTTTCATTGGAAGAAAAACAGTACAACAAATTTGTACCCCTTGTGTAGACAAAAGCACTTTTTTCACCTACATGTAAAAAGAAGCAGTGTATAATTTAGTATAAATGCTTTGAGCACCTGTTATTGTGCTAAAAGCGCAGTGGGAGCAATTTATGCAGTATGGCATGGTTCTCATCCTCAAGGAGCTTGTCTTGCAGATTGGGAGGGCATGATAACCTTTAAGAAATGTATGTGGAATCTGAAAAAGTCAAACTCCTAGAAGCAGAGTAGAAGGTGGTTTCCAGGTGCTTGGGGTGGGTGTGTGAGTGTGGGAAGATGTTGGTCAAAGGGCTCAAAGTTTCAGCTAGGCAGGATAAATAAGTGTGGGAGATCTTTTGTCCATCACGGTGACTATAATTAATGTATTTTTATATATGAAAATTGCTAAGAGGGTAGATATTAAACG